AGTGTTGTGTTGAATTGGTGAAGGCTGTAAGTCGATAGATAGTCATGGAAGTGGATAGTCGGATGCTGGATGCTGGATGTAGGAATGCTGAGCTGCTACAGATTGGAGGTCGATAGGCGGAAGTGGGAGTGTGAAGTCGGATGTCGTATGCTGGGGGGGTCGGGTCGGGGTGCTGAGCAGGTGGAAGCTGGAGATCGAGAGGTGGAGGTGGAAGTGGAAACATCGGATGCTGGATGCTGGAGGTGGAAGCGGTGAACTGGTGGAGGCTGGAGGTCGATAAGGTGGGGGCGGAGGTGGATAGTTGAATGCCGCATTGCGTAGATCTGGATGCGGAGCTGGTAGAGGGCGGCGGAAGTCGGATGCTGGACGCTGGAGGTCGGCTTGCCGAGCTGGTGGAGGCTCGACCACAAGAAACCTTCCACAAGAAACCCGACCCTGAGACCCCAGTGCGGGCAATATGTATTTCCATATCGAGGGCGTCTTGGACTCTCGTGGAAGGGGCGCCGCAAGGCCGAGGCGCACTGGATATGGATAAAATTCGAGCCTCTAGTGGGGGCCTGATTTTTATCCATATCCAGTGCTCCTCGGCTTTCTGGGCAAGGGAGCCCGAAACCCCAGGCTGCAGTGGATATGGACCCAAGTTTTGCCCGTACCCAGGACGTCCATTGCTGCTTTGGGGAGGGGACCTCGCGCTCTCCATCGCAAAAGCCCATCGGGACCGGAGAGAACACCAGGGCACACTATGGAGGCAAGCCAGGGTGCTCCTTGGCATGGGCAATGGGCCTCCACTGCATCTCCGGGCCCTGGCTCGGGGCCCCAAGTGCATCCTACTTCTGTCCACTGCCACGCGGGGGTCCTGGGGGCCTGGGGAGTTGACGGAGGCACTTGTTGAGCGTGCGCGTCCTGCCTCCGCGGGCGTTCTCCCCTCGCCCGAGCCTAGAGAGCGTTTTCTGGTTCGGCGTTTCGGCATTGGGCGGAAATGGGGGAGGGGGGGGGGGGCTGGCTCTGGACCTCTGCCTACTGCGACCTGTTTGCGACAGGGCGTCCTGAGGGGGAGACTCCACCTGCCTGAAAATAGGCGCCAAAAACAGCCAAGGTCCACTCCATGGGGGGGAAGGAGGGGGGGAGACTCCACCTGCTCGAAACAGGCGCCAAAACCAACCAAGATCCACTCCATGGGGGGGGAGGAGGGGGGGGGGTGCGAGGGAAGGCGGCCGATCGCAAAAACAATGCATGAATAACTAACGACCACATACTTTTTGCGATCGAACTTACCTGTCTCTTGGCATGGGCCCTCACTGAAACTACCCCCTCTGCACGAGGCCGACACCCATCCGGGGAGGCCCTGAGCTCGGAACCTGGGGAGGAGGAGGAGCAGGGAGGAGGAAGGAGGAGGAGGGGGAGGAGGAGGAGGAGCGGGGAGGAGGACGGAGGAGGAGGAGGAAGGGGAAAAGGAGAGGCCAAGGAGGAGGGGATAAAGGGATAGGAGCAGGAAGGAGAACGAGAAGAAAGAAGAGGAGGAGGAGGAGAAGGAGGAAGAAGAGAAGGGGAGGAGAGGTATAGGAGGAGGGAGGAGGAGAGGAGGAGGAGGAGAGGAGGAGGAGGAGAAGGAAACAGGAGGGAGGAAGGAGGAGGACGGGACGGGCTGGGGATGGGAGGGCGGGAAGATGAGGAGGAGGAGGAGTAGGAGGAGAAGGAGGAGGGAGGAGGAGAAGGAGGAAGGAGGAGGAGGAGGAGGAGGAGGAGGCGGAGGAAGGAGGGGAGAGGGAGAGAGGACGGAGGAGGAGGAGGCGGGAGGAGGTAGGAGGCGGAGGAGGAGGAGGGGGAGGAAGGTAGGAGGGGAGGAGGAGGAGAGGAGGAGGAGGAGGATGGAGGAGGAGGAGGAGGAGGAGGAAGGAGGAAGGAGGAGATCGAACCCGATCGACAGGCAGCGTCGCGGGCGCGCGTGGGTGCTCGCCCAAGCGCGCGCGGGCGATCGCGGGCGCGCGCGGATGCTCGCCCAAGCGCGCGCGGGCGATCGCGGGCGCGCGCGGGCGCTCCTCGGTGCTCAGCTCGGCGAGCTGCTCCCGGCCCCCCAGCGTCTCCACGAAAATCCTGAGCGTCATTTATCCGACCCCCATCCCCAGCGGCGTGGCCTGGGTCCCACTGGCCGATTTACCCCCCCCGATGGGGGCACAGGCCGTGCCCTTCGGGCTTCCAGGGGTGCATCCCCAACTGGGTTGGTAATTTGGTGGGGGTCACGAAGGGGATGGGGATGGGGATGGGGGTCGGTTCAACGCTGCTGAGATCCTGGCCGAGGCCGCCCCCCCCCCCCGCCGCCCCTCCCCGCGCGCCGGGCCAGGCCAGCGTGCCGGCCACCGGCAGGCCAGGACGCAGTGGGCATGGAGCAAGCGGGTGCTGAGAGTCGGCGGCGAGCGAGGGGGAGAAGTGCGAAGGAGAAGGCCCACTCAGGAGGCGGCGGGGCCTCTCGGAAGCCCTCCGTGTCTGCGGCAAGGCCTGGGAGACTTCTCGGGAGGCTGGGACCTCCTCCTCGGCCCTCCTCTCCCTCCTCCTCCTCCTCCTCCTCCTCCTCCTCCTCCTTCCTCCTCCTCCTCTCCTCCTCCTCCTCCTCCTCCTCCTCCTCCTCACTCCTCTCCTCTCCTCCTCCTCTCATTCTCCCCTCCTCCTCCTCCTCCTCCTCCTCCTCTCTCCTCCTCCTCCTCCTCTCCTCCTCCTCCTCCTCCTCCTCCTCCTCCTCCTCCTCCCTCCTCTCCTCCTCCTCCTCCTCCTCCTCCTCCTCCTCCCTCCTCCTCCTCCTCCTCCTCCTCTCCTCCTCCTCGCTCTCCTCCTCCTCCTCCTCCTCCTCCTCCTATCCCTCCTCTCTCCTCCTCCTCCTCCTCCTCCTCCTCCTCCCTCCTCCTCCTCCTCCTCTCGGGAGGCTGGGGGGGCTTCCGAGCCTCCGAGCAAGCGGCCCCCTTCTCAGCCCCCCCCCGGCCTCGCCGCGGAGAGGGGGAAGCGGGGACCAGCAGCTTTTCCTGCCGAGTCGCTCTGTCTCCTCGCTCCTCCTTCCTCCCTCTCCTCCTCCTCCTCCTCCTCCTCCTCCTTCCTCCTCACTCCTCCTCCTCCTCCTTCCCTCCTCCTCCTCCTCCTCCTCCTCCTCTCCCCTCCTCCCCTCCTCCCCTCCTCTCCTCCCTCCTCCTCCTCCTCCTCCTCCTCCTCCTCCTCCTCTTCATTCTTCCTCCTCCCGCAACCCCGGGGCCCCGGGGCCCCGCGGGAGCCAGGCACGGCGGCACACACGGGGACCCGCTTCTGGCGAGGGCCCCTTTCCTTCGCAGCGATCGGGGCGGAATTCCAGGAGGGCGGTCCGGCGCCAGGCCAAGCTCTTGCTCACACGTAGGCGCCGCTCCTCGGGAGAGGAGATTTGCCGCCGACGCAGCGCGGGCCTGGTCTGGCAAGGGGGGGCATCAGAAGGAACGGAGCCATGGGGAAAGGGGGCAAAGAGGAAGACGAAGGCCGCATGAGGATGAATGCGTGTGAAGATAGATTGGGAATCTCATGGGGCCGACTGGTCTGGGAGGATGTACCGGGCGCCGCGAGCGCTCCGAAGGCCCCGAGAGTGTTCCGGAAAGCTCTGGAACGATTTGTGTCGAGCCAGATCCAGGACAGCATCGCTGAAAGTACGGCGCTTCGCAGATCGGGGTCCGCCGTAGCACGCCAGTCCTGCAAGCGGCCTGCCTCTCGATCAAGTTAGATGCTGGCGCGACAACTTTGCGCTGCGCGAAGCGCGAAGTGCGAATAATTTCGCGCACTCGCGCCGCCTCCCAGGGGAGAAGAGGAGGAAGAGGAGGAAGAGGAGGAATCGGAGCCGAAGCGCGAAGCGCGAATAACTTCGCGCCCTCGAGGGCGCCCTAGCAGGGCGTTCCGTCGGCTGGCGGCCCGAAGGCCCCGCAGGGACAGCGAGATGTCCCCAAGAGAGCTTCCAGAGGCCCCAGGGGCCCCCAGAAGGCCCAGCATGGCCCAGCGATCACCAGACCAACTCCTTGGTCACGCGTGTTCAAACCACGCAAATACACACCAGCGCGCACCATTCGGGTGCCTTGCGCGCTACTCCCTGCCGGGGGCCCGCTGTCCCTCTCTCCCTTGGCAGGCTGACAGCTCCCTGTCTCCTGCAGTCAGCAGCATCCACGTGTGGCAACAAGGATAGGGCATGCGAGGATCATGCTGTGACCGCCCATCTCCTCCACTGCTGAGTGCGACAGCGGTCCTAGCCCTTCTCCTGAGCTGAACTGAAAGCTACTCCAGCTTTCGTAATAAAAGGGAGGGGGTCTGGACCCTCCAAGACAAGCCATTTCAGACCTCCCCCGTGGGAGAACCCTCCAAATCATCGTCCCCAGACGGCCCCAGGCCCTCCAAGACAGCCTGCAAGAGACCCCCCCCGAAATGAGACCCCCCCTTCTTTTATTACGAAATCTGGAGTACCACAGAATGCGCGAGTCGTGCAAGGATCTTGCACCAAATCAACGACATAGAAACCTAAACGAGTTATAAACCGCAATCGTCGGCGGGCATCCGATGCGAAGGCACCCCGATTGGTGCCCCTCCAGGAACGGGTCCTGTGGGCAGTAGGACTTGCCGAGGCCGTCCTCACATGGCCCCGGCATCACCGATACATAATGGCACACAACCGCCTGTGGATACAGAAGCGATGTCGTGGCTGCAGGAGTTGGTCGGGAATTCGTCAGGAGTCCGCACGGCGATGATGATGGAGCGAATTGGTCAGGAATTCGCACAGCGGCGGTGGGTACAGTTTGGCCAGTGCGGTCCTGAAATATCCCGTGGGATCCGACAAGAAACACATTGGGTTTGACGCTAGGGGCCTCAACGCAGCACTGATCGACCCAAACGGCCCTCCTCCTCGTTTCCCCTCTTTCGTTCTCCTGCGATCTACCATACGCAGCAAGGCGTGCAGCCAAGATTCCATGTGCCCCTTCTACCTCTCGGGGGTCGGCGGCATGGCAAAAGCTTCTTGAGTAAGTCGGAGGGACGGTGGTGGAGAACGAGATGGAAAGAGATAATGGAAACCAGAATGATGCCGTAGCCCTTTTCTCCACGCCTACGGCACAACGATGTCCAGCGTGGGATTGGACTGGTGCAGCAGCTCCATCAGCGGCCTGTAGTCGTGCGCCCCGTTCGGGAAGTTTTTCGTGATTGTTTCGACGGAGCTTGTGTACGCCGCCGTGCCGGGCTGGAACTCGTTCTGCCACCAGGCGGGATCCTGAGGGGGAGCTTTGTGGGGGAAGGCTCAGGGGGGAAACAGCGAGCTAGAGTCGGCGACACACCGCCGAAAGAACAACGATGGGCCCCCGATAGCGAACCCGCACGTTTCAGGGCGGGATGGGCGACCGGGCTCCTATCAAAGGTCTGTGGGCGATTGGCGGTCAGTCCCCCTTGTGCGCCCATCCCCCCCTAGCGCTGGACCCCACTTCTCTGGCACGCGGAGCGCGCCAGGGGCGGCGCCGGAGGCGCTGCCAGGGGGGGCCCAGCGCGAGACCAAGAAGCCCGCGCTGAGCGCCAAAAGTTTATGCTTATAGCGTTTGTTGTTCCTCAACTAACGCTACCCCTGAGCTCCAGGAGCAGCGGCGAGTAGTGCCTGTCGGTGGCGGGGTCCAGGTGCCCCTGCAACCAGGCGGAGGTGCGCTGGTACGCTTCCGGGTCACCGTGGAACAAGTCGCCGCTGT